GGGGGGGGGGGGTTTCTCAATTGATAGTATTGGGTCTCATGGCTGGCTAAGCTTCAGCACAGCCAAGTTGAGCCTTCCCCACCCTCCCACCCATTTTCCTTTCTTCTCTGGGTACTGAGCTTCCGCTCCTGGGAAGGGGTAAACAATACTGTTATCATCAAGGGAACATCTTGTGGGTTGTGTCTAGCAGGCTTTAGGGCCAGAATGCTTTGTACTGAGATAGTGGGTAATTGGGAGCCTATGACTTAATCAACCAGATGTCATCGGACCACAAGGACTATGTCACCTTGTATACCACTGATTTCAAAATTGCTTTTGATCCCAAACCCTCCTTCTTGCTTTCCTTAGTTCGAGGGAGCTGATCTGGCTCAGTCTCCCCTCCACATTAGTGGAATAACAGCTATTGGCTGAAAAAGTGCCTGGCTGGGGTCTCTCTCTCTCCCTCCCTTTTTCTCCATTTTGCCGAACCTAACAGATAGGAGAACTACCCCCATAGGGACATCTAGGGATAGACCTTATTGAGAAACACAAGTAAGCAGTCAGCCTTTAAAGAGCCTGTTAGTAGGTAGCAGGTCCTTAGACCCTGGGCTAAAGTCACAGCACGAGGACTCCAGCCCTCGCTGGGTAGGCTTGGGGTGGATAGAGGAGACACTGGAGAGAACAAGGCAAAGGTCTCAGCTCTGGGCATTGCTAAGGCAGCCACTCAGGCACCAGGAGCAAAAGATAGATTACCAAAATTTGGGGACAAACAATGGAGCCTCAGAGAAGCAGGTAAAATCCTCCTTATCTAATTGGAATACAAAGCTGGAGTCAAACTTTTAGCAGAGTTGAGCTGACGGTTAGATCTTGAGCTTCCATCTCGGGTCAGAATGGGTCCCACAACCTAGGGAGGGAGTCACCAGTGGGGAGGGGTCAGGTGCTGCAGCTGCTTAGGGAAAGGAAGTGGATCCTAGAGCCAGCAGGGCCTGGCAGTGACCTACCTTTTCCTATATTTACCCTGGGAACATGTACCATGGCTCAGCTAGAAGCACAGCTACTCTTTTCAGGGTAGTAGTTAGGGAACATGCCACTTCCCATAGCTGTCTCAGAGCCACCGCCAGAGGTGTGGGGTCTAGTGAAGTCTGGTGAGGGTCTAGTGAGGAGCCAGAGACTTTTTCCCTGGGGGCACTGGGCGGGAACACAGCTTAGATAAGGCAGAGGAACAAAGGCTCTGATGGTAGGTGATTGAGGGAGGTCTATGCTGATGCCTCCCAGAGACAGGCATTCAGGCAGAATTAGGAGTGAGCTGTCTACAGCCTGCAGCAGGAAGTGTCTGGGAAAAAGTAGCCACTGGCTTGTGGAGTGCTAAAATTGGCTGTTTTCAAACTGTCTAAAGACACCAGAGTAAACTTGGAAACAGATCTACTAGCTGATGGGGGACTTATGGAGCACGTTACAAAAAGAGCCACTGCAGATTTAAATTAATATTTACTCAATTTCTGGACATTGATTTTCACAGCTGGAGTGTTCAAACTGCCCTCCTGTATTCACAGCACTTCTCTCTGTGTGGTGCGAGTCCTTCTGACCTGCTGAGGGATTTCTGAAAGAGAACCTGTCACAGCTGTCACATGCCATTAAAATGCAGAAAACACTACAGCGCTATTTTGTCAAGAGGCATCACCTACCTGGTGTAGGGTGCTGCATTACAGTTAGTTGTGAAAGCTTTCAACTTAATACAGTAACTAAGATGTTAGCCATATACAAGTAAAATGGTTAAAAAAAAAATTGAAATTTTGTCGTTTACTTTGTGTTCAGCTCCAATGAACTCAAAAATTCTAACTTTGTGGGGGAATAAAAGGAAATGGGTGTAATTTTCCAGACTCATTTCTTGAGAAGTTCAGAATGGTGTCCTCAGTGAGTTTTCTTTAATATCAAAGAGCCCACGTTGGAGCACAGTTTATTAGTGCTTATTAAGCTCCTTTATTTCTTACTTAATCCTTCTTTATATCCTTCTAAACAAGAGCTAAGAAGCTGGGCATTGACATCTTGAAGCTGGGATCTTTAGATTTATTGCTGCTTTTAATATGCTGAGGAAACAAGAAGTTGGTTATTAAAATCTTCCTTCTCAGATGTTTACCCTTTGCATCCTGAACATGAGAGTTTAGAGAACTCATTCATTCTGACTGTGCCCATTTGTAATGTGTGATCATTTGGGTATGCCAAGATGACATGGAACTATGTACTTTCTATTAAAAATAGCTTTGCTAGGGCCGGCCCGGTGGCGCACTCGGTAGAGTGCGGCGCTTGGGAGCGCGGCGGCGCTCCGGCCGAGGGTTTGGATCCCATATGGAGACCGGTCCGCTCGCTGGTTGAGCGCGGTGCGGGCGCGACACCAAGGGTTGCGATCCCATTACCGGTCACGAAAAAAGACAAAAAGGAAAAAAAAATAGCTTTGCTAAGCAAAGTTCTAGTGTCACTAATGGAACTTAGTCTCTTTCAGGGCAAAGGCCTTTTTAGTCTCCATTTTGCAGTGATATTTGACTTAAGAAATAAGCGTGCTAAAATTTACAATAATTTTTACCTATTTGCTTAAAATTTGCTAAAATACAAAAGTTTCTAATGATGTTACGAGAAAAAAAATCCACCATTCTTTTTAAATGTTTTATAAGTGAGATATTTCAATCCCCTCTGGGCAAATTAATGAGATCTGGTCAATGTCAGGTCAGTATTTATAACTGAAGAACTCCTATGGATTGCATTTTTCTGTTAAACTGTAAATTATGTTGTGCTATCTTTTCCACTTCCTGTCCTTGATTCAAAGAGACATGTTTTATACTGAAAGGTGTATATTTTTTTATTTTACATTTTAATACTCAAGAAAGATGAAAACACTAGATAATATTCTCCAGGGTACAAGATGGAGGGAATCCCAGAAGTATGCATGGTGGCCCCAAATTAAAGAGGGTATTAAGTTTTAAATGCAAGATATAAACACTCCTCTATTTGTTACCTAAGGGGGTGACAAAAAATAGAATAATAAACTAGGGGAAAATTCATTCTTTCAAACTGATACTTCATAGCACCTCATGCCTTTCTTTTTTTTATCCTGCCTGAAAAAGTGAATATGTCGGGTGGGTGGTTTTAAAAGTCCCAAGTAATGGCTGTTTTATAGCTAGTGGCCCACTATTGTTAAAATCTCACAGCTTCTCTTTTCCCCAGGCATGACGGAGATGGTGCGTAAAATCACTCTGAGCAGAGCGGTGAGAATCATGCAGAATCTCTTTCCTGAGGAGTACAACTTCTACCCTCGCTCATGGATTCTGCCTGACGAGTTCCAGCTCTTTGTTGCTCAGGTAGATGGCACTCCGTCCCCATGACTCTTGAATTCTATTATGGTTACAACTGTGTCCTGGGTCCTGTGTGCTGGGAGCTGGGGAAGGGGTCCCCAGGGAGCTGAGACTGGCTGAGGGGAGTCTTCACAGTATGCAGTAGGTGTTGGCAGTGATCAGGGCAGCTTGCAGGGTTGAATGGGTAGGGTGGCAGGTAGGTAAACTGAAGAAATGGATCTTGACACAAGAAGACAGTCCTGAGGCTGATATTGGAGCTGGATCATGGAGTCAGAATGTTGGAAAACCAGGGAGCTGGACCCAGAGCAGGTGGTTGAGCCCACAGATGGAACAGGGCCATTTGGGGGAATCTCGGAGGCATCCTCTCCCCAGTTTCCTGAGGTCTGAAATGTGGGAGGTGGGCTCTGTTTAAAGGCCAGGGAGTAGTTCTGACAAACTGAGGGGAGAACCTTTTCAGTGTCCTGCCTTAAGCTTGCTCCAGAATCCTTTCTCGACTGACCCATTCCATCTTGAAGCAATGTCTTTGAGCATGAAATATTTTGGAGCCTTCCCCACAGAACTAGAAGGAAAGCTAAGCTCAGGATTGGCATTTTAGTTAGCCTTTTACCAGTTTCATTTGGGGCTGTTTCAAAGCCTCTGCCTGTAAGTCCCACAGTCTGTACCATACCTCTGACGGTAACTGTACAAAGAATGCCTGTCTAATCATGATAAGATGAATACCATTTATCAGTCCTACTATGTTCTCATCACTGTGCTAGAAGCTCAGCACTTAATCCTCACAGCAATCTTGTGAAATTGGTTTTCCTGTTACCCTCATTTTATGGATAAGGAAACAAGCTTTGAGAAATTAAGTGACTTGCTCGAGAAGTGGGATTTAAACCTAGAACTGATTCCAAGGCCTGTGCTTTTTATTGTCTATCTTATTGCCTTTCTATTGTTTTTGTTTTAATATTGAATTATGAAACTTGTCATAATATTACAATTTATTAAACACTAAAACAGCTCGAAGTGATAATTTTTAAAAGGAAGCTGTCTATGAGATGGTGGTCACATGGGTCTGTATGCATTTCTTAAAATTCATCAAACTATTAAGTGCATTCTACTGTATGCAAATTATGCCTCAAAAATTAATTTTTAAAAATATCAGCTATTTTCCCTGCTCGACTCCACATTTCCCACTTCTGGGACTCTGCTCATGCTACTGTTGGTATGAGGAATACCTTTCCTTCCCGTCTCTACAACTCTAACGATTCTCCAAGACAATGTTTAGATGAGATACCGACTGTGTCTTCAAAATCTGAGTGAGAGGAGCATTGCCATCATCCCTGGCAATTTCTTTGTGCCTCTTTGCTGTCATTCCCCTCAAAGCCTCGCCTCAGGCAACTGCTAGTCTGCAATCTCACTATAGATTCATTTTGCCAGTTCAAGAAATTCAGGTAAGTGGAAACATATAGTATGTACTCCCTTGAGTCTGGTTTTCCCCTCTCAGAATTAGATTGTGTTTTTGAGATTCATCCACATCTGTTGTGTTTATCAGTAGTTTGCATTTTCATTGCTGAGGACTGTTCCACTGTATGAATATACCATGATTTGTTTATTTATTCAGCAATTGATGAGCATTTTGGATTATTTCCAATTTGGGGATCTTACAAATAAAGCTGCCATGACTATTCATATGTAAGTCATTTTGTGAATATGTGTTTTCTTTCTCTTGGATAATACCTAGGAGTGGAATTTCTGGATCTTCTGATATGTGTATATTTAACTTTATAAGAAATTGCTGTATTAGTTTGTTTCTGTTGCTCGTAACAAAATATTAGGAACTGAGTAATTTATAAGAAAATGAAATTTCTTGCTTACAGTTTTGGAAGCTGGAAAGTCGAAAGTCCAGGGAACACATCTGGTGAGGGTCTTGGAGGTGGCGACAGTGACCCAGGGATCTCACATGGCAGAAAATGGAGAAGCAGAGAGAGCAGAAAGATAGCTCCTCATTCACTCTCCTTTTAAAGCTCTCAGAACCATGACCATGACCACCATTTTGAATCCATTCACTAGCCATGGTCCTAAAAATCTAATCACCTCTTTAAGGTCCCATCTTGCAATTACCATAATAGGATTTCCCACTCTCTTAACAGTCACAGTGGGGATTAAGTTTTAGGGGACATTCAACCCAGTGTAATTGCCAAACTTCTTATATGAAATTCCAAAGTGGTTGCACCACTTTACATCCTGCTGACCTTGTGTGAGAGTTCTCGTTCCACATCATTGCCAGTATTTGGTATTGTTAGTCTTTTTAATTTTAGACATTCTGGTAGATATGTAGCTGTATTTCTTTATAGTTTTAATTTATACCTCTCTGATGACTAGATGCTGATTACCGTTTCCTCTATTTTTTGGATATTTGTATATCTTCTTTTGTTAAGTGTATATTCAAAATCTTTGCTCACTTTTACTATCATTTTATTTTTAACTCATACGTTCATCATATATTCTGGATACCAGTCTTTTGTATATGTATCATGATGTATTTGTAAATATCTTGTGAATATTTTCTCCCACTTGACTTTTCAAGTGTTAACATTGACTTTTCATTTTTTAATTCTGTCTTTTGAAAAACAAAAGGTTTTAATTCTGAGGAAGTTCAATTTATCAATTTTTCTTTTGTGTGTGTGTTTTGTGTGTTTGTGCTTTTTGTGTAATGTCTAAGACTTCTTTGCCTAACTAAAGGTTATAAAAATTTTATACTTTGTTTTCTTGTAGAAGTTTTATAATTTTAGTTTTTATATTTAGGTCTTTGATCCATTTCAAGTTAGTTTCTGTATACGGCATGAGATTAGGGTTGAAGTTTACCTTTTACCCATGTGGATATTTAAGTCTTTTAGCACATTTTATTGAAACAATTGCCATTTTCCCCATTGAATTACCTTGGCATGTTTGTTGAAATTGACCATGTATATTTTGGTCTATTTCTTGATTTTTCTGTTTTGTTCTGTATGTTTTTATATTTTTCTACTTTGTTCTGTATGTATTATATTGATCTGTATGTTTAGGCTCTTAAGCAAATGCTCCACATTATCTTGATTACTATAGCTTTATAGTGAGTCTTGAAATCAAGTAGTATAAGGCCTCCCCCGTTTGATTACTTTCAGAATTGAAAAGTAATGGCCGTTATAGGCCCTTTGCATTTCCATATAAATTTTGTAATCAGTTTCTCATCATTATCTTGATTACTATAGCTTTATAGTGAGTCTTGAAATCAAGTAGTATAAGGCCTCCCCGTTTGATTACTTTCAGAATTGAAAAGTAATGGCCGTTATAGGCCCTTTGCATTTCCATATAAATTTTGTAATCAGTTTCTCATTTTCTACAAGAAGGCTGCTAGGGCTTTGATTGGCATTGCACTGAATCTGTGGATCAGTTTGGAGACAGTGGACATCTTACCAATGTTAAGTCATCTAATTGATAACTTTAATCTTAGATCTTCCTTAATTTCTTTCAGCAATGTTTTATAGTTTTCAGAGTACGTATTTTCTGCATATTTTGATAAAATCTCTAAGTATTTTAGTTTTTATGCTATTATAAATGGTATTTTTTAAATTTTACTTTCTAATTTATTTGTTACTAGTATATAGGTATAGATACAGACTTATTAATTTTGTACTTGTATTATATGACCTTGCTCAATTCCCTTACTAGTTCCAGAAGTTCTTTTTTTTTAATATATTTGTTAGGATTTTTTTTTAATCTCTTCCTTTCTAAGCTATATGCCTTTTATTTCTTTTTCCTGTTAAATTGTACTAGGCTAGGACCTTCAATATGCTGTTGAATAGAAGTGATTAGAATGAACATTCTTGCCTTGTTTCCAATCTTAGGGGGAAGCATGGAGCCTTTTACTATTACATAGGATGTCAGCTATAGGTTTTTCCTAGGTGCTCTGTGTCAGGTTGAAGAAGGTTTCTTCTGTAGTTTGCAAAACGTTTTCATCATGAATGAATGGGTGCTTAGTTTTGTTAAATGACTTCTCTACTTTTATTAAGATGATCATATGATTTTTCTCCTTAGTTTGGTAATGTGATGAATCACATTGATTGATTTTTTTAAATGTTAAACTAATCTTGCATTCTGGATATAAACCCCACTTGTTTATGATGTATTATTCTTTTTATATACTGCTGAACTCTTTTTGCTCATACTTTGTTAACTCTTTTTGCTCTTACTTTGTTTTTTGTGTCTTTGTTCATGAGAGATTTGGTGTGTAACATCTTTGGTTTTTGTATCAAGATAGTGCAAGGCTTATTAAATGAATGGCAAATGTTTCTCACTCTACTTTTCTGACGATTTTGTATAAGTTTGGTATTATTTCTTTCTTAAATGTTTTATAGGATTTACAGTTGAAGGTATTTGGGCATGGGGCTTTCTTTTTGGGAACATTTTAAGTTATGAATTCATTTTTTAGGAGATATAGATAATTTGTGTCTTTCAAAGAATTACTCCTTTTCACCTAAACTGTAGCATCTATTGACATAAAAAATGTGAAAATAATATTATTCCCTTATTATTTTTTAATGTCTATGGGATATGTAGTGCTGTCCACTATTTCATTGTTGATATTGGTAATTTCTGTTTTCTCTTTTTTTATATAATCATCCTGGCTAACATCTTATCAATTTTATTGATCTTTTCAAAGAAGTGACTTATTATTTGATTGTTATTCTCTATGATTTGTCCATTTTACGTATCATTGATTTGTGCTTTTTTTTTTTTTCCCTTTTTGTCTTTTTTCGTG